GCCCGCCCAACCAGAGGACCTCAGCCCCTCTCCAGGGTGTCCGAAACCCTTATTCCCAGGGCTCGTGAAGAGATGTTTTATAAAGCCTGGGAGTCAGGGTCCTCTAACGCAGTGAGAACGGGAGGGCTGGTGTCGTCCAATGAAATTCAAGCCTTCTCTGTCCTACAGACTCGCGGGCTCACACCATGCTGACTTCACAAGCTCCACTGTCACGCTGGGCAAGTAGGATTTAAACCCTCGAGAGAAATCGCCGAGGACGCAGGCAGGCGGCGGCTGGGCACTGCAGCCACCCTGCCCTCTGGTGCTGTCCCCTGGCCGCAGCCCCACAGAACCTGCCCAGGAGCCTGGGGCCGGGGCTGGACAGTCACTCCCCAGGAGCCGGACAAGAAGTGAGACTCTAAAACCGTCTACACCGTGTGCCCACCGTGCGGAGCCAGCTCATTCGCAGTGGGGAATAAGCCCCTGCAGAAAGAGGCCCAGACAGGAGCTGGAGGGAGATCTGCGGTCCCCTCCCCCATCTCTGGCAGAGGCTCCTGTATGTCAGGCTTCTGTTGCTTGTGACAAAAAAAGCCCTAAATACAAACAGATCGCGTCAGGGACGTTTGAAAGCACAGAAGCAGGCAAAGCAGGACCCAGCCCTCCCGTCACACCTCCCAATGCCGCCAACCAGCCCCTGCGGGGAACCTGGGACGGAGAGCGAAATTCCCAATTCCTCTCGCCCGCTCGTGCTTGAGGGCACCTGGCAGCCAGGCCCATGGGAGCAGGAGTCCCGCAGGACGGGACAGCAGGACCGACTGCTTCCGTCCCACGGGTGCTCCCAGCCCAGGCTGTGCACAGAGCGCCCACCGCGCTCAGGACCACCTGCCTCCACCCTCACTGCCCACTTTGAGGTCTGGCGCTGCCTGGCACAGACAAGCAGTGGACTCCTGCCTTGTTTCTGCAGCGGTCTGCTCCATTGTTTTGGTTTCTCAAGATTTTTGATGCACTCCTCAAGCCAGGGCCTCCTCGTGCCCCTCATGCCCAGGGAGTGGGCAGCGGCGCTGGGCGGGGACATCCAGCAGCCGTGGGGCAGGACAGGCCGGGCTGGTCGGCGCCTGGGGAATCTCGGGTGAGACCTCAACTGAGAGACGGCGCCTGCTGCAGCGGGCGGGATGGTCACAGCCCGACTTGCTCTCGCTCTTGTGTTGTGGGTTTTCCTAGTCATGTTCTAACATGAGGCAATACAGCTCTGCTTCCACCCTGACGTCTACGATTCTCTGCCTCTTCCCTGTTCCAGACTCAAGAGTAGCGTCACACGAGGCCCTACTTCCCTCCACTTTCACCATGAAATCCTTAGAATGCTGGACTTTTTTGCAATTTAGTTTTCATTGTGTGAATCATGAAATTATTTGAGGTTTCTAGAAACTTTTGCATGAGATACTTTCCAAATGAAACAGCTTTCAGAAAAATGACTGTTTTTTCAGATCGCATTTGAATGTAACATTCTAAACACTGACTTCTACCAAACGCCAGGCAGCGGGAAACACGCAAGAAACCCTACACTGGCAAGTTCCTAAAAATTCCTCGCTAAGCCCCTCCCACCTTGACCTCCGTACGCGGCGAGATGTTTGCTGTCGAGTTGCACAATTCACAGCCGCCCGGCCCATGAGAGCTCCCAGGCTGCCCGACGGAGGCCCCGCTCTTTGCTCTTTGGAAACCAACAAGCCTCGCGTAAGCAGAAGGGCTTCGCTTTAGCTGCCAAAGCCGCATTAGGAAAATGAAATGTCTGAAGCTGAAACCGCGCTGTACAACTAGGACAAAACGCCCCGTCGACAGGACTAGTTATTCTTCACTGGAGACGAGGTGAACTTCTGAAGGGCTTGCGCCGTCTGCTCCTGCGGGGGAGCTCGCAGGGAGAGTTCAAGGAACCCCAAGCGCGCCCTTCACGGCCCACACTGTCATTGTCAGCCTCACCTGGGCGCTGCAGAGAGCACACGGAAAGCCCGTGCATGCATGCACACACAGGCACACACATGCACACGCACGCACACGCTGGACCGACATGAGCACAAACAAAGCTCCAGTCATCTGGGACTGGGTTTGGTTTCCTGAAAATCAGCAAATCGACAGCCCCTTTGTGCCGGCCGGCGCCCACTGCAGCTGTGCTTGCGTTTCTACTGTTAAGTTCTTACCGCCTTAAACAAAGAACCTACACTCCTCTCAGGATACCTACTTCTAAGGAGGTTGAAAGCCTGTCTGGCTTGTAGACACATATCAATAAACAATTATTTCTCCAAATTCTCGGAGGAACTACCACCAGCTTTGGTGGCTGACAGGAGATGGGGATGTTTCGGAAACCAGGTCACAGTGGTGTTGGTGGCAAGAGGCGGCCAGCGTGGAACCCTCTGGAACGGATCCGTTGGACCACAGCAGAAACCACACAACTACACGTGGGATTACATGTGAGCTTTGTATGTAAACAAAGCAACTAGCCCATTCTGACAAGACCAATAATCGACTACGTTTAGATTTTAAAGTACTATTTTGATGCAGGAATTGAATTTAGTAGCTGTATTTTCTTACCGAACATTAGACGACGTGGTCTGTGCGTAAGGGCTGGAGCGCAGGGAATCAGAATCGGGGCGGCCGCTGTGAATCTAGCTCCTCCCTGGCTTGTGCCTCAGCCCCAGCCTGTCGAGCCTGCTGCTCTTCCTCCACTTCCGTAAGATGTCGACTCAGGACCTTTTAAAATCGCCGGTTCAGTATTGTAAGTTGCACTGAGGACGCTGTGGCTGTTTCTAACGGGCTCACACGCAGCGACCGTTGCCCGGGTGAGAAGAGCCGCCCACAGCAGCGCTTCCCAGGACGCCGTGGAGCCCCCACTCGCCCGGCTCTGCCCTCTACACCCAGCGACAAGGATGAACGGACAGATGGCAAGAGGGAAATGAGGACCAGAGAGGAGCCTGTTCACATGGGAAGTGTGGGCAAAACCAAACGGGGACGCGGACACCACAGGAATGAAGGAGTCTTGAAAAGCCACATTTCCGACAGGTGAAGTGTCTTGCAGCTAGGACTTCATCAGGATGAAATGTCTAATGTGGATCAAGAAAGAGCAAGGCTGGAATTTCCTGGATGATCCGTGTCTACACTTTACAATGAAGGACCCGCTGGCCTGGGCTCCCCGTGGTGTGGTTTTATCCTCAGCAAGACACAGCAGGAAAGAAGTGGAAATTTCTCTAAAATGCCAACACGTTAACCAGTGTGACACCACAGCTAAGTGCAATAATCTGTGTTCCAATTTGTCAATATCCCAGTCATAAATGCCACTGCAATAAATGCTACACAGATGCCTTTAAAAAGAGGATACGTTTGAAAAAATGGTACATCCAGGTACATCTTACTCAGCCAGCAAGCACGGCCCTCTCTGAACTGATAACTTACGAACTGGGCGACGTGCAAACCGCAGCTGATCTGCCCGGGAGACTAGCAGTTGGGCTCCCTGGGACAGTACCTGGTTTAGAACCCTAGTGAATGTGAGTCTATAAAGGATGCCTCCTCTCCGACGTTCAATGAGAAATGGAAACCTCAGCCACCTTACGGTGATGCCTCCAGAAAGAGCTTATTTCCCTGGCTTTCCGTCGCCTCTCTGCAGCTCTGCTTTGTCCTAGTCGACCTTCCCTCGCTCACGTGGGGTTGGCCCACCCTGGAGCTCCCTCAAGCCGCCGGGCATCCGCGATGCTGTCGGGAGGCCGCGCTGCCACAGAGACAGCGGACAGGGCTTGGGGAGCAGACACTGCGACCCAGGAAGCCGGCACAAAAGCGCACTGTGGCTCCACTTGCATCAGTTCCAGAAAAGGCAAAACGGACCCACTAACAGCGCCTGCCTGGGACGGGGGGCGGGGAGGGACTCACACAGGACACAGGAAACCTGTGGGGCGATGACATCGTTCTGTGGTTGTGCTACATTTGTCAAACTGTGAAACTCTTACAGTGCCCGGGCGTGGGCGCGCCTGCAGTCCCAGCTGACTTGGGAGGCCGAGGCGGGAGGATCGCTGGAGCCCAGGAGCCTAAGGCCAGGCTAGGCAGCACAGCGAGACCCTGTCTCTACTTTTAAAAGTAAAAATAAATAAATACAGCTAAAGTGAGTGCATTTTATTGTGTGTAAATCGCACCTCAGTGAAACTGACTTTTAGGAAATGCAGACGTGACATACACGGGGAAACCAAGCGACGCGGCACCCGCCGTGCTCTGGCAAAGTCTGTCATCGGCCCGACTGACCCTGCCCGTGAGCACGGCCCTGGCTCAAACAGTCCTCAGACGCCCAGGCATGGGGCGAGGAGCTGCACCCCAGTGCCCACCCGGCCGGGGACGGCCATCAGGACTCTGGATCCCCGCAGCGAAAAGTTACATTAGGCAAAAAAAAAAAAAAGCTATTTAAAGTGATCGTTTTTTTCATGTTTCATCCTTAAAAATGAACAAGTTCCATTTATAATGACCAGTTAGAAATGAATCTCTAAAAAAAACCCCCAAAACCAGTAGATCAGCACATATTTTAATTATTAAAATAGAGTAATACTTGACAGAAGAAAGCCCTGGGATATTTGTGTTATTATCATGCTACCTGTGTACATTTTAATCCTAAAATTGAGACAAAAGTTTACTTAAACATCTAAGGCTTGAGTTTCCTCTGCGTAGTAGGAAACAGATCCCCAAGACCAGTGTGGAGGTGATAAAAATCCTTGTAAAACGTAAGGGTAATTTGGGGCTTTTCTACGATTATAACAAACTAGGCGTAATTGTATCTCAGAATTGTTACGTAGAAATATAATGTACTAATTCTCTTGTTAAAATTTAAAAGCTTGATTTCAAAATGTGGAAATCTCACACCGACACAATACTAACACAGATAATACACAAGCTAATTATATACATATACCATCATGCAAAGACTCCAAACGGCTGATTTTAACAAGCAGGCGAAATGCACATGTTCTTGAATATAAGGTAACTCAAGCCGTGAGCACAAATCAAGGTGGTTCCTTTATTTTGAACGAGAAAGTGGCATAAGCAACTCAGGGTGTGCCCTAACCTGGGAGCTCCTCCTCTACACCATGCCCCACCCTGGGCGTCATTTTGGGAGAGAAAAGTGTCTTCCATCTGCTTAGCTGTGTTATCTGCTATGACACCTCCTTGCGAGGCCGGGACGGCACCCAGAGTGAGCAGCGGAGGAGCTGCGTGTGACGGGGTGAGATTCCCAGCGTGTCTGAGGCGGGCGCTTTACTAACGGGGCTACGGAACTAGTCTTGAGGGAGTGAGAAAAAATGAAGGTGACTTGCTGGCATTTCCAAGTTGCCTCCATGTAAAAATCACTTTTATAGCTCTTTCATTAAAAAATATTCTGATCAAATAATCTCGCAAAGGAAAGAAGATGATCTAGCCTCATGTCTACCGTACAAAAGCAAACACCTGATTTTCTGCTCAGTTATCGTGTTTCGGACCTTCGCACGGCACGCGCTAGTTCCCGGGGAGCGCTGCTACGCCGTCTGCGCCAGGAATTTCACGTACCGCTCCCGGGCTTCGAAATGGTCAGCCGGCCGGTTGTACGCTGTCCACACCGGCTCTCCCACAAACAGCCGCATGGCCTTCACGTAGTTCTAGAAACCAGACAAACACATCCAGCATCTCGTTAAACCAGGTGGCGTTCCACTTATCTACAATAATTTATTAACATAAATGACTGTGAATACGTCTGTTTTTATTCTGTGTCTTCACAATTCCAGGTTCCGCTGTATCCGCTGACGGGAAACCGGTGTCAGGTGTGAGGGCCGATGCCGACCAGTCCTTACACTCAGTGCGCACGCTCCCTAGAAACGCGCCCGTCATGGAAACGAGCACTATCTCCAGCCCCCCGGGGCGCTCCGCCTTCCTCTCTGTCTCCCTTGGGTACAGTTTTCTAAGAATTAGCACTAGGCCCTCGTGTCGCCGGCAGGCAGGAGTGGAAAATCTGCCGCCGTTCGTCAAGACAAAATGCACATGCCTTTTAATCCAGTTTTCACTTTCAGGAATTTTTCCTACAGAAAAATACACTTACGTACAAAATGACAAGCGTGTAGGTTATTTACTGTGGCACTGTTTACAACCGCAAAAAACAATTTACATGCCCATCATCAGGGATCATCCACTCGTGGAAGAGATGAGCGGTTAAACAAATCCGCGGGCAGCCGACAACGGAGCCCTGCGCAGCTGTACCCGGGAGAGGCTCCCTGCACACGGACACGAAACGATCCCCAAAGCTCAGCGTGCAGAAAAGCAAAATGCAACCATGTACAGCCTGCTACCTCCTGCGTAAGAAGGACAGAAAGACACTGATTCACAATCTCTTGACTACGCAGAAAGTCTCTAAAAAAACTTCTAAAAACATACTACTGTTACCTTCAGGGAGAGAAAGTGGGCGGCTGGGGAACTTTTCGCTGTGCACCCTTTCACAATTCTGGATTTTAAACCATCTGCATTTATTGTCTGCTCCAAAATGATACTTAAATCCCAGGTTCAATCCAAATCACACCCAGAGAACCCAAGAACTACCTTATTTCTGTTTTTACTGACAATCCCAGTGACGGAAGCTACTGTTACATTCTAAACGGAAATGCTCTTAAAAATGACACAGTAACAGCCCGACAGATGCCTCGCAACGGGCCCCTAGAAGTAACAGCAAAGTGCGGGTCAGAAACTCTCAACACAGGAGCGGGACCGCTGTCTGTCTGACGACAGCGGCCGTATTAACGTGAGTGCCACTGTCCGCCAGAACAAAGGTGGAGGCTGCTGGCGGCTACCATGAAATAAACAGCTGTCACCTCGGGCGTCCCAGTGACGGCTCCGGGTGATGTGTCTTTGAAGCACAAAGCCAGCACTCACAGGGTCTGTCACTGTCACGCAGCACAGCGGGCACGACGCCACGGCCAGGGGCGGTGTGGGGCGTCTCTGACATCCCCGCGCAGGTCAGACTGGAAGGCAAGCCCGCAGCTCCTACCTTCTCGTCCACCGTGAAGCGGTGGTAGATCCCCGCGGGGAGCGTTATCATGTCTCCCTTCTCCATGGAGATCCGGATCCACTTGTCCTCCGCGTCTCGCACGTCGAAGTACCCGCTGCCGTCCAGGATGTAGCGGATCTCATCATCCAGGTGCAAATGCTCCTCGTAAAACATCTTGATCTGGCGCAGGAGGGATATTGCTGTGAGTCTCCCGGAGACCAGTCGCGCAAAGTAGCCCAGGTCCCCCAGCACCGAGCCTTCGACAACCAGAACAGAGGGGAATGGACCTTCTCTCTATAAAAACGGAAACTACGCTTGCTGGCAGTCATCATCACACTGAGTCCAGCGGGTGGGACTAGAATGTTTTATGAAACCTGCCAGTGATCGGGCAGGAGGAGAAAGAACGAACACTCGCATAGCACGGTGTGCCAGGCAACGTCCTAAATACGTCACTAAGCACTCACAACCCCATGAGGTAGGCACTCTCTGCCATCCCCGTTTTACAGATATGGGAATGGTGGCACAGAAAGGCTAAGTCACTGGCCCAACCTCACACAGCAAAACTGCCCCAAAGACATGTCAGCCCCACGCTTACACCCACCGTGGTGCACTGCACACAGCTCATGCTCCACAGCATGGGCAACGCAGCAAGACCCTGTCTCTCCAAAAAATGTTTTAAAAAATTTGGCCAGGCATGGTGGCTCACACCTGTAATCCTAGCACTCTGAGAGGCCGAGGTGGGAGGATCACTGGAGCTCAGAAGTTCTAGAGCAGTCTGAGCAAGAGTGAGACCCATCTCTACAAACAATAGAAAATCTAGCTGGGTGTGGTGGCATGCACCTGTAGTCCCTGCTGCTCGGGAGGCTGAGGCAGGAGAATCGCTTGAGCCCCGGAGTCTGAGGTTGCAGTGAGCCACAATGACACCACTGCACTCCAGCCCGGGCGACAGAGCAAGACCGTCTCAAAAAAAAGGAATTAGCCAGGCATGGTGGCCTATGCCTGCAGACCTACGTACTCAGAAGGCTGGGCCAGGAGTATCGCTTGAGCCCAGGAGTTCGAGGGTAAAGTGAGCTATTATTGAGCCACTGCACTCCAGCCTGGTGACAGAGTAAGACCTTGTCTCAAAAAAAAAAAAGTAAAATAAAATCTTTTATTTTCTTTATTCCTCGTGGATCTAATAGATAACTGTATACTCAAAGTAATGATAGTAACAACATATTGGGTGATTATGACATGTAGATAGTGAAATAAATGACAGCAACGCTCTAAAGCTGTGGCCCCGACCCCCAGGACGTAGACAGGGACCAGTCCGTAGCCTGTTAGGGACCAAGCCACAGAGCTGGGTGCCCCTCACACCCCCAGTCCATGGAAAAACTGTCTTCCATGAAATCAACCAGTCCCTGGTGCCAAAAGGGTGGGGGCCGCTGCTCTGAGGGCAAGAGGGAGGAGCTGGTACTACCCAGGCACTGGGCAAACAAACATACATTGCAAACTCTAAGCAACCACTAAAACATTTTTTAGATGATAAGCTAAGAGCGGAGAAAAGAGAATTATATAAAATGCTCAAATAAAGCCAGACAAGGCAGAAAAAGGGAAGAATATTAAAAAAAAAAACAACAACAAAGAACAACGGATAGAAAACAGTTACAAATACAGTAGCTATTAAATCAACGATATTAATAATCCACTGAAATGTGAATGACTGAAATACACCAAGAAACCCACTTTAAATACAAAGACACAAACGGTTTAAAGGAAGGGATGGGGGAAGACACACCACGTCAACACCAATCCGAAGAAAGCTGAGGAGCTGCATTAACTCAAACAGGGAAGAGCACCAGGGACGAAGGGGACGTCATGTAATGACAGAAGGGCCAATTCTCCAAGAGGACGTGACAGTCTCTACCACGTACACATCTGACATCAGAGCATCCAAACACGACAGAACTGCGTGCAGAAACAGACAAGCCCACTGCTTGTTTGTTTGTTTTAATTTATTTAGAGACAGGATCTTGCTCTGTCGCCCAGGCTGGAGTGCAGTGGTGTCATCACAGCTCACTGCAGCCTCCAACTCCTAAGACCAAGCGATCCTCCTGCCCCTGCCTCCCAAGGGCTGGGATTACCAGCATGAGCCACCAGGCCCAAATGCGCTATTATAGCTGGAGACTGCGGCACCCACCATCAGTAACTGACGGATCCAGCAAGCAGAACATCAGTAAGGACACAGCTGGCCCGAACAGCACCGTCAACCAACCGGTCCTGCCTAATTGACACTCACAGACCACTCCGTCCAGCGACAGCACAGCACATGTTCGTCCCGAGCTCACACGCGACGTTCACCAGGACGGACAGCATGCGCGGCCACAGCAAATCTCGGCACGTTTACAAGGACTCAGATCAGACCACGTGTATTCTGACTACAGTGGCATTACATTAGAAACCAATAAAAGGAAAATCTCTAGAAAAAAATCCCCAACTAATTGGAAACTACCACGTATCTTCTAAAAAAAAAAAAAAACCCTGCATAAGCCAAAGATAAAATCAAAAAGGAAATCAGAAAGTATCTTGAACTGAATGAAAATAAAAACAGAACACATCCAAATCCGCATGATGCCACCGAAGCAGGACTCAGAGGAAACCAACAGCACAGAGCAGCTCTCCTAAAAAAGGATTCGAGTGAGTGACCTCAGCTTCTACCTCAAGAAAACAGAGAAAGAACAGCAAAATCAAACCCAAAGTCCATATGAGAAGACAAATAATAAAGAGCAGAAACCAGTGAAATAAAAATAGAAAAAGGGAGAAAATCAATAAAACCAAAATTTCTCTGAGAGAATCAATAATGTCGGAAGGAGAGAGGACACACGTTTCCACGCCAGGAAGAGGAGGACAGCACCGTATGCGCCACAGAGGTCAAAAGGACGACAGGGATATTCCCAATAACTTGCCGGCAGAAAACCTGACAACTCCCATGAAAGGACAAATGTCCCGAAAGACACAAACTACCAAAGTGCACTGAAGAAGCAGATCACATGAATAGCCCTGTATCTCTTATAGAAATTGAATTTATAGTTAAAAACCTTCCCATGCAGAAAACCCAAGCCCAGATGGCGTCGCTGGTGAAACGTAAGGAAAAATAACGCTCCATATACTAAACACAACTGGGGAGGGCCACATCCCAGCGCATCCATGAGGCGGCATCATCTGACCAAAATCCAGGCGAGGACGTGACCCCCTTCCCAGGTACCCGGGGCTCCCGCACCTTTTCTTCGTAGTTTGGGAGCTTGTCTCTGGTTATGGTTATGATGTCCATCCACGAGTAGTTTCTCTCTCTCCGAATCTTTTCTAATTCCGGGTCATTCTCGTACTTGTCGGCGTCCAGCTACAGGAGTTGGAACAACAGAAGGATTAATACGAGACGTGGAAACATTCTCTTTCTGGGTCTCCAGTACGACTACGCTCCAAACGTACCGTGTGTCCCCTTGTCACCTCCAGACTCCTCCTCCTCCACCTCCTCTCCACTTCCTTCAGTGGACGTCCCAAGCCCCAAACACCAGCTACAAGTAACGTTCTGTTTGATTTCTACCTCCCTGCCCTGCTACAGTCCTTCCTGGGGGACTCTTTCATATTTTGAGGTGACATTCTCATTGCCTCAAGTCTGTCCAATCAGTCCACAGGTCCCTCCCTGTGTCCTGTTTCTCTGCCACCATCCCCCTCGGTGGGTCTCACTGATCCTCTCTGGCAGTGGTGCCCAACCTTTCTGGCACCAGGGACCAGTTTCATGGGAGACCGTTTTTCCATGGATGGGGGTGTGGCGGGATGGTTTGGGATGACTCAAGTGCATTACATTTGTTATGTGCATTGTTCCTATCACTGTTACATTGTAATATATAATGAAATAATTATACAACTCACCATGATGCAGACTCAGTGGGAGCCCTGAGCTTGTTTCCTGCAACTAGACAGTCCCATCTGGGGGAGATGGGAGACGATGACTGATCTGACAGGAGGCGGAGCTCAGGCGGTGATGCAAGCGATGGGGAGCGGCCATAAATACAGACGAAGCTTTGGTGGCTCGGCCCACTCCCAGCACCCTCCTCCGCCCCCTCACCTCCTGCTGTGTGGCCCGGTGGTTCCTAAAAGGCCACAGACCGGTACCACAGCTCTATGGCATATCTTTGGTCATCGTGTTTTCCTGGGCCAAAATGTCTCATGCCTCACATGAGAACTCAAGTTCAACGGGCTGGAATGCGATATCTTTTATAATCTGGCCCCAGTTGACTTTTCTACTTCTATCTGTCCCTAGTCCCCTATTTTTAAAGAAATCTACATTCTAAACCAGCTAGGATGATTCGCTACTCTTACAGCTATCTGACACCTCACATTCCCACACCCTTACTCGCAACAGCTTTCTATGCCGGAAACGCCCACTCACCACTCTCATTTATCACAGTCCTTTCTGTTCCTTAAGGCTCGATTTTAACGCTGCCTTCTTCGTGAAGCACTTCCCTAGAGCCCCAGAGACAGTTAATCTGAACTCCTATGTAAAAGTACTGGCAATGAATTTAGCATACCTTTTGTTTTGCAATAAAATGCACATTTTATCACCACTACTGAACAACAAACTCCAGAATATCTCAAAGCTCTAGTTATCAATATATTATTTTCTACGAAGATGACTCCAAAAATGAGCAAACCCACTGCATGATATGTACGTGGCACTATTTGCTATGGTCTGAACGTGTCTCCCCCTACCCCACCCCATTCATATGTTGAAACTCAACACCAATGCGACAGTATTCCGAAGGCGGCCTTTAGGGGGTGATTAAGTCATGAGGGCCAAGCCCTCATTTATGGGATTTGTGACCTCATAAAAGAGGTGCAAGGCCAGGTGAGGACACAGCAAGGAAGCAGCCGTCTATGAGGAGCGGGTCCTCACCAGATACGGAATCTGCCAGCACCTTGATCTTGGGCCTCCCAGCCTCTAGAACTGTAAGAAATAAATTTCTGTTGTTTACAAATTACCCAGTCTCAGGTACTTTTGTTATAGCAGCAGGAATAGACTGCGACACTATTGCAAACTAAAACCATCTTACTTCCAACTGTGTGTGTGTGCGTATGAGAAACAGCTGTCTGTCACACTGCTGTGTCGCTAATAACAGATAAGCAAACATGCTCCCCTCTGTCCCCACCATTAAACACAATTTATAGGAGGCCTGTTGTTCTGGACCGAGCTCCTACACTGGGCCCAGCTGACCAGACCAAACCAACATGGAGTCGCTTGTGCCAAATGCCACATAGTCCAACTGAAGCTTTAAGGCAACAGGGAGATCCCCAAACACACCAAATTTTCCTGAAAACAGGAGATTCCAGTCTACCTGAGTGAGCGTAACAAGGAAGTCCCTTCTGCTTTAGCCCTTACCAGGAAAAGTAACCTGAACTGGTGAAGCAACTTGATGTTAACCAATCAGTTTTTCCTATGGTTGTTTCTTTGGGGTTTTCTGTTCTTTTTTGTGGTTGTTTCTTTGTTCCCACCCTACAAAACTCACTGTCCTGCTACTGCCCAGTGGAGCTCTCATTTTATTTTGTACAAGAGAGGCTGCCCAGATTCATGAATTGAGAATAAAAGCCAATTAGACCTTTAATGAAATGTGTTGTGATTTTGTCTTTTGACACCACTGATCCAGAATGGTCATTAAGAAAGCATGCAAAAATACACAGGACACCAAAACCACAGAGCACACAATTTCGGCCAGGCGCGGTGGCTCACGCCTGTAATCCTAGCACTCTGGGAGGCTGAGGGGGAAGGATCACTTGAGGTCAGGAGTTCAAGACCAGCCTGAGCAAGAGCGAGACCCCGTCTCTACTAAAAATAAAAAAAACTTAGCCGGGCACGGGGTGCATGCCTGTAGTCCCAGCTACTCAGGAGGCTGAGGCAGGAGGATCACTTGAGCCCAGGAGTTTGAGGTTGCTGTGAGCTAGGCTGATGCCACGGCACTCTAGCCTGGGCAACAGAGTGAGACTCTGTCTCAAAAAAAAAAAAAGTGGGATAAAATAAATAAACCAAAATATACTATTTAAAATTAGTCTTATTTGACTCTTTGGCTACATTCAGAAGTCTACCTATAATCTCGTTCTTAAACTGTCAAATACACAATGAAACTTGTGATGTGCATTAATTTGAACCCTCTAGTTTTTGGATTGTGGATACATTAACTTCATTATAAATCAATACTTATTTTCCTCTCATAATAGAAACTATAAGCCACTTGAGTGCTTTGAAGACGGTACCTTCCAGTAGGTTAGGTGTTAAATCTTAACCCAGGAAAAGACAAATACAAAGTGAAAACGAACACGCATGCCCCTTCACAGACTGGCATCTGCAAAGCAGAGGTAAGTCCCTCCACCACACAAAGTGTACCAAGGACGCTGTCACTCCCCTCTTCTGCCACCTAAGCGGGACCAGGTATCTCTAAGGATGTTACCTGCAGTACCCTACGATCCCCCGAAGGGAGCAGCGCTGGCCCCAGGGTAGCTGTGTATTGATCCAGTCACTCCTGAACCAGGCCTCACCTGTCCTCCCCCGTGATAAACCTGTTATCTCACAGCTATTGGAAAACAAACAAGCTCATCAGGCCCAAGGCTGTGCAAACGCGGGAAGGACACCAGGCCAGGGCCTGCGCGGCCGCTGACCCCGCCCCACCCGGGACCGGCCCAGAGCGATGTCTCCAGGAAGGGACGCTCGCCGCCCAGGCCCCTAACTCGGCCTGCCGGGAGACCCCGAACACCCGCCTGGTGAGGGGCCAGGCCACTCCCTGCCAGGACAGGGACCCAGGATACTTAAACGAGGGAGACCAGGCGGGCGGCAGGCGTCGGACCAGCCCAAGGACCCCGCAACCTGGACCCTCCCCAGGAGCTGGCGGCCCCGGAGCTGAGCATGCGCAGAGATCCGCGCCAAGACCACCTGGGCCACTACTGAGCATGCGCAGCACAGCCCGGGCGCCGGGGCACGACAGCCCAGCCCACTACTGAGCATGCGTAGCACACCCTCGGGCGCTGGGGCCGCGACCCTCCAGCTCACTACTGAGCATGCGCAGGACACCCCGGGCCGGCCAGGCAATGGGGCCGCGAGCACCCAGCCCCCTACTGAGCATGCGCAGCACACCCGGCTCCGGGAGCCGGGACCACCTAGCCATTGCTAAGCAGGCGCAGCACGCCTGGGCGCCAGGCCGCGGGGCCAGCCCGGAGCAGTCTTGGGCTGTGCGCAGCCCGCGTACCTTCCAGTAGAGCACGCCGAGCCGGCGCAGCTGCTCCAGGCCCACCGGGAGGCCGTGCTCGGGGCGGTGGGGCAGCCGGGGGTCGTCGGGGCGGTCGTCCATGTACCAGGCCTGCACCATGGTCGCGCCTGGGGCCCGCGAGTGCTGGCGGGCGGGCGAAGGGCTCCCTTATGGGGCGGAGCAGCCCGGCCCGTGACTGGGCGGCTCGGTGGGCGGCGGCCCGGGCGGGGCGAAGCTGGGCGGACCCGCACCGCGTCGTCGTGAGGCGGGGGCGTTGGGGGTCCGCGCAGCCCTGTCGTGGACACTCGAGCCCCCCCTCAGCCCCTCGTGCGACGATCGGGAGTAAACGGCGTGTTAAGCGGGGACCGCGTCGGCTGAGGAGACGACGGGGCCGCACATGCGGGAAGGAGCGCTGCGCTTCTCCTCAAGGGCCGCGGCCGCGGGGGGCGCGCGGGGGGCGCGTGAGTGCGGGTCTCCCGCCGCGGGCGAGCAGCGAGTACTCGTGCACGTGCACGTGTGCAGCTGAGCTTCGCGCCCTTCGTGGGGTCCGTTAGGAAGATGCCGGCTTAGCCTGATCCCAGCGTGGTGTCCAGTCCTCCGACGGGACAAAGGGACGCACAGGACACCGCACCCTCACTGCAGCCATCGAACGCCTGGTGGCTTTTAGCAAGGGAGGGGTGTAATGAGGGCGTCCTCCCTCCCGCCCTGTCAAGGCTGGGAACTCATTTTTGAGGTTTCTCTGGGGTCTCCTTGGCCAAGAAGGGGGTCCGTTCAGTTGGTAGGGGGCTTAGGATTTTATTTTAGTTCACAAAAGCACATGCAAACTAAAGTGACTTTGTTAACCACATGCAGCCCATATGGGGCACAGTTGTGGCTTGAAGTCAGACCAGGTCACACAGAGGACCCCAGGGATCACGTGGGACCTTTCCCTCCCCGTGCCAGTCCCCAGATTTTCGCAATATCAACAGTCTGCAGTGCTATCCTGTAACTTTTAAAACTTCCTCCTTTTTCTTCTTTTCATCCTATCTTCCTCCCCCATATACTGCAATGTATTAATATTATGTCCTAGGGAAAAAAAGCTTCCCCTTCCAAAGTCTGAATTTATTATCAATAGAGCGAATAAGAAAAAAAAAATCCAGCTGCTCCATCAGCCTAGATTTGTCTTCTAAAAGCAATCAGCTAAAAAGATCAGATTATGTCAGCCATTTCCTTAGTCTCTTTAATGAATCGAGTAACTGTAAAGCCTACAGGATTTAAATAAACTAGGGTGCTGTAAGAGAGCACAGCCCCAAAGCATACGGCCAACTCTAGAACTTAAGAAATACTGCAGAGAAAGCACACGTGCATTTCTGCTCTCTTGCTCTCGTGACTGTGCAAAGAGTGCACCCACATCCTCTTAGCTTATCCCTCCAACTCTGCACTTGACCAGTCACCGCTCCTCCTTCAAGACTCCACCTAAGACACCGTGGCCCATTTTTCTGCTGCACTAATCGCAATCCCTCACCTCACTTTCTCTCTCCCTACCCTACTCCAACGAGGCTTCCCTTTTCGGCACGCGGTCGAGACTACTCAGAAGGGGACCAAACACGACCCTGTTGCTGGATCCAACCCCTGCACTTCTGCTCTCGGCAGCAGCACGCATGGCAGGTGCCCACGCCTTTCTTGAAACGTTTTCTTCTCCTTTTCCTTCCATCTCCTGGCACGCCCCCCAAGGCCCCCACTGGCTCCTGCTGCTCTAAACCCCCACTATGTGGTGGTCTGTACCAGACTCTCCTTGTCCTGCTCTTAGCCACACACACACACCAAGTGACCTTAGTCCGTGATGTGCTGCTGACCCCTCAGCCACGGCTCCAACCTGGACCTCGTTCCAGAGCCTCAGACTTGAGATCAGCTTGTATTGCCATATAACGGCCAGTAAGTAAGTCACAGCGACACAGCCAGCACAGAACTACGATGCCCCCGACACACCCCGGCACGTTTGTCCTTTCCCATCTCAGCGAACAGCAGCACCTGCACACAGAGGCTCAATCCAGAGTCTCAACGTCTTCCTATCTTCTCTTTCCCTCACCCTGGACATCCGGTCCAATCTATCAAGTCACGTTGCTTCAAAACACACCGTGAATCCATTCACCTCTCTCCAGCCCAACTCTTCCGCGTCTCCTCTTGCCGATGGAACTGACTGCTGGAGTTGCCCCCTCTTCCACTTATGCCCAGTGCCGACCACTCTATGCAGAGCAGCCAGAGTGAACCAGGTCGTGCCTCTGCCCTGCTCCCACCCTCCTTTCTCCAGCCTGGCCCTGACCGCTGCCCGGCCCAGCTCCCTGTGCTCTGCTCTCCGGCTACTCCGGCCTTCCGGGGTCTTCGAATCTCATGCTCCTTGTCTCAGGCCTTTCCCCAGCAGTTTCCCACCTAAAATGCTCTTCCTTCCTCCAAGTGCTTTTTTCCTACACATACTTCTAATTTCAGCTCAATATCCGCTCCTTAGAGAACCTCTGATCACTCCCTACACAACTAGGTGACATCTCCCTGTTAGATACTTCTGTGGGGCTCGTTGGAGTTTGTAATGATTTATTGGACTGATGTCGCTTCGCCATAGGACCGACAACCCCATGTTTGTGGTACTTGCTGACCGAATGAATTTGTCTGTATTGCTGAGTACGACACATACCTTGAGATCAGAGGGTGTGTTTTGTTAGTCTTCAGTGCCTGGTACAGAGCAGACAATTTTTTTAAAAGAGTTTGTTGAATGAAAATTGAGCCAGGCAGGTGGTGTGCGCCTGTGATCCCCCACTCGGGAGGCTGAGGTGGGAAGACTGCTTGAGCCCAGGAGATTGAGACGAGCCTGGGCAACATGGTGAGACCCTGTCCCATGAAAAAAAGAAAGAAAATTGAAGAGATGGGATGAGAAACACTCCAAATAGTCTTCACAACATGCCGTAACTGCCCTCCTATCTCATATCTAGTGCTTCTTTTGTCATTCCCTAGAACAGTAATAGAAACAACAATAATAGCGACGTGTGCTAGGTGGTGTTTTAAAGACTGTGTGTATATTATTCCGTCAACTCCTGACGGCCCTGTGAGGTTGGTACTGCTTATTACCCCATTTTAAAGATGAGACAGTTGAGGTGCAGAGAGCTTAAGCAACTCACGGTCACATGGCCAGGAAGTGACAAAGCTGGATTTGAACCTAGGGCACCTAGCCCTACACTGCGCATACGTTACTGCTAAAATGCAGTGCAAGCAGTGACACAGGTTTCATTCACTTGTAGCATCAACATCTGGAATCGCCTGAGTGTTTCCAGGTCCCCACTCGGCTGCAGCAGCACACACAGTTGTGTCGCCACCAGTTCTTGGCCTCTATGTTCAGTAGATGACTTTTTTACACTGGGGAGGCAGGAGGGGAGAAGTTTCATGCCATAAAGAACATACGTTAGGCCCCGTGTGGTGGCTTACACCTGTAATCCCAGTATTCTGGGAGGCTGGGTGAGAAGATCGCTTGAGGCCAGGAGTTCGAGACCAACCTGAGCAACATTGCAAGACCTTGTCTCTACAAAGAAACAGAAAAATTAGCCAGGCATGGTGGCATGCACTCATAGTCCCAACTTCTCGGGAGGCTGAGACAGGAGGATCGCTTGAGTCCAGGAGTTTGAGGTTGCAGTGAGCTATGATGGCAGCACTGTGCTCTAGTGACAGAGTGACGCCCTGTCTCAAAAAAACAAAAACAACAACAAAAACCCATACTTTAGAAAAGCAACGTGATTAAGATGCCCTGAAGAGTTGTCAAGGAAACCCTGCGCCTGCTGCCAGCACCATCCAAGCAGGCAGTCAGATGAGAACAGCACTCATCATTTCACTTGGACATTGTGGCCCAGGGGAGTCCTCCTTTGAAGGGGAGTCTTTTGAACTTGAACTATTTCTTCCAGAAGAATAGCCAGCAGCAGCCCGAGTATGTTTCCTGAACAGAATTCATCTCCCTGACGCAAGACACGTGGGAAGACTCTGCTCAGATGTTTTGAAAGGCAGATGGTCTCGGTCGCTGCAGCCCTGCGCAGACCGCTCTCCATCTCGGCCGTGTGAGGAGCACCAGCCCAGGGGCCCATCAGCAACCACTAGGGAAACCCAAGCCACAGAAACGTGGGACACGTAAATCTCTTAGGCCCTGCAGGCCAGGAGGCAAAATTGAGGATATATAGGTACTTATATAACAACCATTTTAAAATGTAAAAACCAGTTGGGTGTAGGTGCTCACACCTGTTATCCCAGCACTTTGGGAGGCCAAGGCAGGAGGATTCCTTGAGTTCAAGACCAACCTTGGCAACGTAGTTGAGACCCTGTCTCTACAAAAAAATGAAAAATTTACCAGGTATGGTGTGCGCCTGTAGTCCCAGCTACTCAGGAAGCTGAGACAGGAGGATCACTTGAGCCCAGGAGTTCGAGGTTACACTGATCAGGCCACTGCACTCCAGCCTGGGTGACAGAGTGAGACCCTGTCTCTAAAAAAATAAATAAAAATAAAATATAAAAACCGTCTTAGCTCATGGAACATACAAAACCAGGCAGCACACAGAATTTGGCTCACAGCCTGGAGTCTGCTGATCTCTGCTATGTACCAGTAACAGTATTTAAATTTTATCTGATCAAGTGTAGGTTACTTCTGGCCTCTGGAAGGAACTGTGGAGCATCTGAGGTTTTATCCTACTCGCAAGCTAACAAGTTGGCCTGCCCCAGCCTCTCGGGTGTTGGCAGAAGTCGTGAGACTCCTGGGTCGGAGACCAAGCACGGCGTGTGCGCAGGAGCACAGCAGTAGCAGTCGCTGGAGCGCCGGCGTTCGGCACGGGTTCCCGACACCAGTTCTCAGCAAGTGGAGGATGAAGAGGGGTGATCCTGCCTTCTCAGTGGGTTGCACTACAGCAGAAGAAGCTTGAGCTTGGGCACGAAAATCTCTCCTTCAAGACGACTGGTCACAATCAGGTGTGCAGTAGAAATGCTTCCTACATACTTCCCATTTGGTCACAGAGAATATTCGAAAGTGGCTACTCAAGGGTCCAGATTTTCTAACAAAATCAATCATTTTTACGCTTCATGGAGGACGTTCTTAAGAGAAACCAGGGCTTGTTTTTGTTTTTGTTGTTTCCGTGCAGGTGCGTGAAGAACACAGGGA